ACTGGTAGTGCCATATTTTTCTTAATTTCTTCCTAATATGAAGAGGTCAAAAGAAGAATTACAGAACAATTTGTTTGTGTATGAGCTAAAATAATTTTGGCATCATGCCATAAGCATGGTTCCTTCCACAGAGTCTATAAATGGAATAAGACTGTTGAAGACGCCTTCCACGGTTTGGGAGGACAAGTTTCTCAGGTGCTTGCTCTCAGGTCACTTTAATAAGAGGAAGCTATATTTTCTTATTATTGCTGTTGCTCTGAACCTGCAACAAGAAACTTGTTTCTGGAGATACTTTATTTACAAAGATGAAGGCATCTACACAAGGACACCTCTACTCTGATAGTTACCCTTCTGGGACATCGAGAGGGTAATCTACTTGAGTCTCCAAGTCCACTGGAGAAGAACAGATGATTAGGAACCCGAGAGTTGTTTGTAAATAATTCAGGACCATCGACTTCTCTTATGCTGTTTCTTCCTGTGTGCTTATTGCTACAGCTAGTCAGTTTGTGTATTTGACCATGTTTGTCTCACCATCTTGAGACACAAGAATTAAAAGTCATGTGGAGTCCTGGCCAGTGTGGTTCAGTTGGTTGGGCATTGTCCTGCAAACCAAAAGTTCATGGGTTCGGTTCCTACTCCGGGCACACACCTGGGCTGTGGGCTCTGTGCTCTGTCTGCAGCGGGCACTTGCAGATGGCAGAAGGCAACCATGGATGTTTCTCTCACACTGATGTGCCTCTCCCTCTGCTTCTCCCTCACTTGTCCTCTCTCTAAAATGAAATAAAAGGATATTAAAGTTATTTGAAAAATAAAAGTCATGTGGATATTTGTAATACATTTCCTTTCAATAGAAATAGGAAAAAAGTCACCAATAGTATCGCAGGATTCCTGCACTCTGGGTCTTTGTCACTTCTAACAATTCTTCAGTGCCTCTCAAGTGGGTGGGTGACTAGAAAATTTCTGGAATGTTGTAGAAAGCAACTGCGTCTATTTCTGAGTTAAGGGATTTGTGAACATGTTAGATAGAGTTTTACCATGAGCAAACTTGACTTTCAAAAGCGTAGGAAATACTATCCATTCACACCTCTATTTAGGGTCAACCCTTGTTCCCAATATATTGTTATAAACCTTAGGTGGCTGAACACCTTCATCAAGTTGAGTTATTATAATACTACTAATTTCTATTTTAAGCCACTAGGAAAATAAATTATATAACATTTCTTACATATTATAATATACTGTTTTCCATTCCATAGTCTGGAACTGAAATATGACTGAAAAAAAAGGTCTGTCTGACTTTATTGCTACGCAAAGCATTACTTCTCTTGAAGAACTATCAGCCCTTTGAAGTTACAGATTTGTGAAAGGTTGTGGCCTTTGGCTGCCAGAAAGCTCAGTCTTAATGGTATGTTTACTTTTACCTGGTTATTTTTCCTTGGATCCTCATGCTTCCACATATTTATTTTTTAAATATACTTTGCCTGTCTTTTAGAGTTGTTCAAATCCCTCCTTCCATGAAGCAGTGGTATAAGTAAATATAAATAAGTATCAAATTTTTAAAAAAGGGGATCAAGTTTGGGAATAAAGTAAAATGACTCTACGGAATTCCAATGGAATCACTTCCTCTCTACTCAAATCAATGTATCAAAGTTTCCTCCTTTGGGAATTAAACTAGAATTTTACTTTCCATTTTTGATTGAATATGACTTTGGGAAAATTAGCTGGAAGCACTACCCCAGGGTAATCTCGATGTTAACAAAATTATAAAGAATTTGCTAGCTCATCACAGCATGTTAGAGTTTTGTGTACCAAAGTCTCCATTTTTTGAGAAAGCAGAGGAGAAAACATTTGAAAGCATTTTGATCCCCAACCCCATTGATGCCTGAGAAATTTGATCTTTATTTTATCTGTAAGTGAAATTAGTAGGGAGAGAATCTTAGTCTTTTCTGATGGCAAAACTTCAAATGCTGAAACAAATTTAAATGTTGGAATGGATGCTATTATTCACGTGGTTCAAAATTTTAAAAATACAAAATTGCATTTAATAAAATGTTTCTCTTCAAACCCTGTCCTCCAACTGGCCAGCTTCTGTCTCAAGACACAACCAATCATATCAGTTTCTGTTATCTCTTTTCAGAGATACTTTACACTTATACAAACGAACATATGTAATATATACATACATACAAGTGTATGTAATTTCTCCATTTTTAATAAAGTGTAACATACTTGTTTTGCTATTCAAAAAGCAGCGCACATTATGTGTTGAAGATCATTTCATAAAAGTACAAAGAGCTCTCTCATTTTTTTAAAAGACTTTATAAGATGTAATTTTATGGCTGGTTTGTAATTTACCAGTCCTTTAGTGATGAACATTTATACCTTTTTCAATCTTTTCTTATTATGAATGATGCCAAAATGGACAAGCTTATATATACCTGCCATTTCTCATTTCTGCTGTAAGGTAAATTCTTATATGCGGACTTACTGGCTCAAAAGCTATGTGCATTGAGCTTTTTGTTAGAATTGGTGAATTGCCCTTGTTCGAGGTTGTTTTAATTTGCATGCCTATCTGCTTTGTAACTGCCCATTTCTCGAACTTTTGCCAACACACGGTGGTTATGAAACTTTCTAACTTTTGCCAATTTAAGTGAAAAAGTAGTTTCTCAATGTAGTTTTGATCTGCGTTTTTCTAATGGACAAAATCAGTCAGGCTAACTTCTCTTTAGGACAAAAGGCTACAAAGTTATGGGGAGTTGTTATCTGACCCTTAATATTGTTTGCAAAGTCAGGAGCAGGTCAGCATTCAAGTTCAGAGATCAAGAACATGGCAACCTGCCCAGAACTAAGATGGGAAGAAAAGTCAGCAGGCCCATTTCAAGCATATTAGCCTCAACAGAGTCTCCTGATGATGTCCCTAGAAGGTAACTTCTGTTTTTATGTGGATGCAATTAGAATCTAAGTTTCAGATTCTCTAATGGCTACAAAAGTTGCTTCTGATGAACGTTTTTTTGTTTGTTTTTTTTCTTCTTTTAATCCGTCCCATGGAAAAATGGAGTAAAGCAGGTCCTATATAGATGTAACTAAGCCACACATTAGAACTGCCTGCGTGTGTGTGGCTGCAGTGGGGGAGGGGGGTCGTTGGACTAAATCATCTGGGTCACCTGAGGGTTATAAAGATTAAATGGCATGTTTAACATTAGGAGTATTCTGCTTAGGGAGGAGGCGCGTGGCTAATTAGCATAATTGCCTGATGACTGAGAGAGACGATGTCAGTGGTTTGGTTTGGTTTTGCTTTGGGTGCTTTTGCATAAGGAAGAATTCCTCAGTGGTGTTTAACGCTGCCTCTCCAAACGTGATCACGTGCCTTTTCCTAAAGTCATACAGATGTTAGTTACGTGCCTGTCTTTACGACGGGAACTTCAAAAGCAGGCGAGAGCTGTCACCCCGAATGGACACTGACGGGGGAAGAGTGGGAGTTAGGCCTGCTGATTGTGCACCTGCCTTACACTAGCTGACCTGGGGCAAGTTGCTTGACCTTTCTGAGCTCCCCCGTCTTCAGCTGGAAAGTGGATATAACACTCTGAACACACACCCCGACGTCTTCTTGAGGAAATAATGGAACACTGAACGAGGGAAAAGGCTTTGTAACTGTAAGTGCCAATATATGTTAGTCGACCTAATACAACAGTACAGAAACTTTGTCAAATACAATATCCTCAGAAAAAGCTTACTTCTCCTAGAAAGCTTTTAGCCCATCCAAACCAGATACTTAAAATACAAACAAATAAACAAACAAAAACTGGATTTAGGTAGTCTGATATTTAACGATCAGTAACACCTCTCAAAAGTGGCACAGCATCTGTAGCAAAGCTTCGTGTTAAAAATATGCCTACAGAAAAAAGTATTTTATGGGCCTTATAGGCAGCTAGGAATGAAATATGTTCTGTTTGGCAAAGGGTAAAGATGTAACTTGTGTTTATTGAAAAGTAGGTCGCGCCTCGTTTCCTGGGTGTCCATCTTAATATCCTCAGCGCTTTTAATTCGAAGATCTGGCCGCTCTGGAGTTCATTTTGTTTACCTTTAGTAGATACTTGCTAGTCAGACTCTTGGAAGTGTAGATAATGAAGCTAATTCTACAGACTGGCAGTCGGACACTTAAGAATGAGTCCCCGCCGGTTCCTTACAAACCTCTGCCCCGAAGTTGCTGCAACCTTCCCAAGCCCTGCCACGCCCAGGGCGCGTCGTGCTCGCAAGACCGCACCGCTGGCACCGAGTCAGAGAGCTCGCCCCGGGAATGCAGGTGCTGGCAGCGCTGTGGAAAGTAAGTCCGCTCCTTCTCCCGGCCTGGGCCTCCAAGCGCCGGGCGCGGCAGAGTTCGGCTACGCGGCGGAGACTTGTGCCGTTCAGAACCTAAGGTTCAGCCAGGTGCGCAAGCAGCAGCCTGGGGCGCCTGTCGCACGTGGCAACAGGTGCACCGCGGCGCTGCGCGGAATCCGGGGCCCCGAGCGCGTCCGCATTTAGCCGGAGAGCGCGCTGGGCTTCGGGATCGGGAGGCGGGAGCGTGGACGTCGGGAGCCTGTGGGTGAGCGGAGAGCGGCGAGAGCCCCGGAGCCGGTGCCAAGGTACCGCCTCGCGCGTCTTCCAAGTTTTTCCGGGGCGCAGCCCACTTGGACGCCACCTGGCCTCGGTCTCCAGCTGCAGGGCGCAGGCCTGGCCGTCTGGAAGGGGCGGTGGCGGGCAAGGACAGAGGCGGCAGAGCTTTTCTATTTACAAGTTTCCCGAACTCCCCGCCCTCGCTCCGCCCCGCGGCGGCCGGAGAGGCCCGGGGGCGGGGGAGGCTGGGACGTCTCGGACTCCGGGATCCCTCCCTGCCGCAGCCACCGCCTCCGTGCGGTTGGGGGTGGGGACGGCTCGAGTGTCCCCAGGTGCAGACGCCGTCCCGCAGGCACCACTGCACCGCAGGCCGCCGGGGTGGACTTGGCGCGCCTCCGCCGAGGGCTCCTAAGCGCCCTCGGGCTCGGAATGCAGGTCTCCCTCCTGCTGCGTCTGCTCCCCGGAGGGCTCGGCGTTGGCTCCGTGGCGCAGAGGTAAGTGCGGAGTTGAGTCGATTGCTGCCACCCAGCCGGTCCGCGGCGGCGATCGCGGGCGGCCGTTGGAGAGGACGCGGTGAACGCGCCCGTCCTAAGGTGGCAGCACTGGCCTTGGGGGAGGGGGCGGGCATTCTAGGGGCTTGTGTGCCAGAGTTGGGGGAGAAGGGTGGCGGGACAGCCCTGGCGGAGCGGAGGCTGCGGGCAGCCGGTCTCACGTGGGCACAGCGCAGCTCACGCGGAAGGGACCGCTGCGGACCTCGTAGCTGTCACCTTGAAAGTGACCGAACGGGTTTACTGTGGACTCAGGGAAGCAGACGGACAAGCAGGTACCCTTCTCAGCGGGAAGCCGCCCACCACACCCGGAGCCTCCAGGGCGCAGCGGTCCCAGCCCTCCCGCTGGGCGCTTTGCTGGGAGGATTCTCAGCATAAGTAATCCGGGCTGAAAATGGCTTTAGTGGGGTCGCTGCACCTCCCCGGGTACTCTCATCCCACGCCCCACCACTTCCTGCGGGTCCCTGGTACTTCTCCAGCTCGCCGGGAACATCCACCCCTAAGGTCACCTGGTTGGACTACTCTGTAATAATTAGTGGGCTTCTGTGTTTCGGCGCCTTAAACGAATCTCTTTTGTTTTCTTCTCAAGACGTACTCTTTTCTGTTATTGGTTGATTTTTACTCAGATCAATTGATTTTGGAATGAAAATGGAGAGATCGATTCTGCATTTGGCCTCCATGTAATTTCACATACTCTGTTGGTACTGTTTCAGTAGTCAGTGAACAAATAAAGGAAATCCAGTGTGCTGTGTTTTGGGTGAATAAAATCAAAGTCTCAGGCGAAACGGGGACGCGGATGAGAGCGTTCATGTTTTACCAGGTGATAGGGATTCCACCGTCCTGGTCTAAATGCTCAGGCCTGGGCTGGAGGGTGGGCCGGGAGGTATTAGTCTCGTTCCTTCCCTTTACCCCTGGGGGCGGGGCGGGGCGGGAGTGAAACTCACTGCTTCCTGGGAACCCTGGGCCTTCCTTATGGAGTGTAGATACATCCAGATAACAGGATTTGGTTGACACTAAAAAGATTTTCGTAGTTGGAATTGCAAGTTCTGTAGACAGACTCCTTTTCCAGGAATGATTAGGGCAGAGAACGATGGACAATTTAACTGGAAACAACGACGCCCTGTTTGTCTAGTGCTTTACAATGCTTTCATGATTTCTCCTAAGTGCAATCTTCCATAAGGAACATTTTGCAAAGAAATGATTAGACACCAGTTGCTGAGGAGTGGAATTTAGTTTAAAATAATGTATAGTTACCTATTTAACTCACACCAACTTTTTTTTACCTGTTCTTTTTGAAATCACCCTTGTGCTGGCCGGAGAGCTGCACCTTTGCATTAGGTGTCAGTGATTGAAGGTTATGATTCTTGAGAATGTCCTAGGACTATAAAATTATAGCTAGATTTCTTTGGTTATTTCTTAGAAACAAAACTGCCATTATTAGACTTAAGCATATAAAAAGCAGGTCACTGATTAGCCCTGTTCTGTTGGTCCTCTCATGATTTCGAAAGGAATGCATGTTTGCTGTGTAAAAATTGGTAGATTCAAAAGAAGTGGAAGAGCTAAATAATTCTACTATCGAAAGATAATCACAATCCATATTTTCTTATTATTTGTTAATGTATATTTATTAATGTACATAAAGATTTTTTTACAATAATATGGCTTATACAAATATACTGTTGCACGATGATATTTTTAATGCTTAACACATCGTGAAAGTTCCCATGTTACCACAGTTCCTCAAGAATCTTGTTTTAGAAGCTACATAATATCATCTAGATGTAACAGTTTATTTAACCATTTTCTTAGAGCTGAACTTTTAACTTATTTCCTACGTCTATTATTAAATATATGTGGATGGAACAAATATTCTTTATAAAACTTCCCAGAGCATAGGTCCTTGGATGGGGTCATCCAAACACAGTTGACGGTTCAAAGATCTCTTGGTACTGATTGATCACTTGCTTTCCAACACATGTTGTACCAAAGTGTGCTCCTGCTGGTAATCCGAGAGAATACCTGTGCTCTTACATTCTTGTTAATATGGGGGCGCATCCTTAAAAGTTAAAATAATTCTTGCTAGCTTTGTAGGTGAACAGTGCTATCTCAATATTTAAATTTCCATTTCTTTGACTACAAATAATGTTGACCACCAAAAAATGTAGTTATTTTCCATTTTTCCCCTTTTAATTAAATGTAGTGCCAATTTTTCTCTTGGGGTATTAATATTTTTTGTCAGTTTATAAGAGCGTTTTATGGATTGATACACTTTTGCCTTTTAGATTGTAGATATTCTTCCCATTTTTTGTCTTTGATAAAGACAGCACATATTTGTTGTGGTTTTGACTTATAAAAGTTTATACTTTAAGGTAGTCACCTTTGTCAGCGTTCTCAAAAATAAAATTTTTTAACACTCCTAAGTCATAGTTTAAGAACTATGTATGGCAGTGGCAGAAGATGGCTTTCAAAAGAATTCCCCTTCCGAAGACAATTCTGGACTAGATTCTTTTCAAGTCCATGGTACGAACCTGCAGGTGCTAGGACAGCGCTGTTGCAAAACAGACTGTGTGTGTGTCCATGAGAAGCAGTCCCATATGGTGCACCACTGGGAACAACCTTCTTCCAAATAAGAACGGAAGTTTTCAACTCCAGCGAATGAATGGCTCTCAGACCTGTTGTCCGATGAGTGTGTCAACGAGGCTCACAATCCATTTACTTTTAGTAGTTCATCTGTAATAGTATGATTTTGCCAGGGTTATTTTTCTACTCATTATCGTAGTTTATCTTGAATTGGCGACATGCGTCTTTTCTGATGTCTAGTCAGCTGTCTGTGTAGTGTATAAATTATCGATTAAACTATTTATTTGAGAAGGGGGGAAAGTCTTCTCGATTTCCCAAACTGGAGTTACCTCTCCACACTGTGGGGGCTGAAGGCCACCCTGAGGGCTTGTGTGGGCCTCCATGAGGGCGCTGTCCGTCAGAGGAGGAGGCCTTCTGTTTACTCTCCATCTTTCAGAGCCTAATGAAAGGCCCTGGGGACCAAACATGGGCTGGGAGCATGAGGTCAGGGGATGGTGTGTGTGTCTAGGGACACTCAGATGCGGCTCAGACTCTGTCTTGGGCCGTGCAGGTGACTGCCACCACTTTGTTAGCAGGTACTTGGGCAGTGGTGGCTTGAGGCCATCGGAGCAGTGACTGACAGAGGATGAGGGAATGCATTAAGTTTTTTTTTTTTTTTTTCAAGAAAGAGCAAAGAGGGATTAGTTGATACAGTCTGACCTTAGCCAGCCTGAACCTTGGTTCAGAAAAGCCTGCTTTGATCAGGGTTCTTTTTCCTTGGCTTAGGGCAGTCCTATAACTAGGGATGGAGTCTGACCGTCAGCTACCACTACAAAAATTTTATTTCTAAACCAAGTCTTATAAAACCTTGCCCTGATGATAGTTATTTTTTTTAAATGACCTCAATAGTCTTTGAAATCAGCAGTTATTACTTTCATGTGGGCAGTTATCCATGTTATTCATGCACGGCATTTTCTTACTCACTTGGCTCAAGATAAAAAAAGAGTTTTCCATTTGGGGGATGACAGAGTTGGGGGCTAACCCTCACTGTGTAGACAGAAATAGCATAAAACTTCACTTTCACGCACTGGCATCTAGTTTGCTGTTTGCGATTTGCCCCATAGGCTGGCTTTTATACAGTCAAGGGAGAAATGGTTTGTTTAACACATTTGGAGTGTGAACAAAGTTCAGTCTAGAGGTGTTTGACTTAAGGAAATAACTCGAAGCACTTAATAGTACATATTTGCACACAAATCTTTGATTCCAGAACCTTTCTTTGGTTCTTCAAAGCTAGTAGATTTTCCTTGGCCTTTAAGTTTAAACCCCATATCCAAAAGAAATAAAAATGCACATATTTAAAGAGAAGTTGTTTTTAAGTCTTGCGAATAGACCCAGATCTAAATTAATGCATGGTCTTGTGTGTCCATTCCTTACCTAGAGGTTTTATTTCATGTTGGAGTTTTAAAGACAAAGGAGAGTGTTCGAGTCTCCTACGGTTTCTCTTGAGGAAAGGTGGACTTTTACAGGAGGGTTGAAGAGATTCCCTTTGAGCGGCGAAAGAAGATGACAGGCAAGGGCAGGTTCTAAGTTTCTCAGGCCAGTTGGAAAGGGTAAAGGGGGTCACAAGGGAGGGACTCCGGATACTGTGGTTTTGTTTGTGCTGAGCCAGAGGGCAGGCCCGGCCAGACTCCCAGGGCAAGGTGCAGGCGGAGGAAAACAGATGGAATAGGGAACAAGGCTGGCTTCCCTGGAAGGTGCTAGGAAGCTGCCTTGGGAAGTGGGCTTAAGGCCATTAAATTACCTTATTCTTTCAAGTACTTTTAAATCTTTGTACCTTGTCTGTTGATATTTAAGCTCCATGCGAAGAAAGGTAAATTAGTGTTCAGGTTTGGGGGCTGATCCATCATAACTACCCTTCCTGATCTGCTACAATGAACTAAAATATTTTAGGACATTTCGTGTCCTAAATTGTCATTGAGAAAAAGAATCCCCTCTGGGAGAGAGTCACACTTAATCAGAAAAGCAGGAAGGGGAGCTGTAAAAATACATTCTTGTACAAGCAAACATATAGCTCGAATATATGTCTGCCTTTGTTCATCAAGTCTCAGCTGTTGGGTTAGCTTGCTTCCATACTTCTGGATTGGAAACTTGGTAATATTTAACTCGGGCATTATTTACTTAACATACCGGTTGTGAAGGAAAAGTCAGTATTCCTTCACCTTATTTTAGATAAGCAGTTCTGTGTCTAGTAGTGGTTCAGTGACAAATGAGTTCTCTCTTATGTTTATCTCATGGATTGTTTTGATGACTTTAGCCATGATAGCAAGTGGAAACTGCATGCCCCTTTGAAGCATAGATCACTTGGTTCGCTTCTGGAACCAGAAGCG